CCCCAAAACCCCAAAACCCCAAAACCCCAAAACCCCTCAATATTTGCAGCATATTGCAATGAAATATTTTAACCAAAGAAACCGAATATTCCTTTATCATTCTTCTGTTTGAGTTCATCAGAAAGTTCTTGGATTACCATATTTTTAGCATTGATGGTCTCCTGAAGCTCATGGATGAGACTCAGTTGGTAGTCATAAACATGCTCTCATTTTCTCTGATGATCCTCTATTTTGTCTCGAGTGCTAAGATGCTGTCATTTTTCAAAAGCGATTCATTTTATGATAGCCTTCTGACAGGTATCTGGGTGGTCTTTAAACTCACTTCTTTTAACCTTTTTCTTGCAGTTGGGACATTCTAGAGGATATTCCTCACAAGTCTTGATATGTTCAGGTAGGGTCCCTTTGTAAAAACTGTCTTTACATCCTATACACATCATTGTTCTGAATTCTCAGACGTTTTCTTCGTGATTTTCTAGGTCCTTTCTAAGCAAAATATGCGAATGGAAGTATTTTCATCTGACCTTCATATACTCTCACTCATTTTTATGAGAATGGACCTCCTTTCTCTTGATAATTGCCTTTCAAGCAGGGAATGAGGAGCATCTATAAGGAGCATTTGGTCACTTTTTAAGATGCTCTGTGAAATCGGACATTTTTATCTCTTCTTCACAGTCTTTATACCTTCATTTAAGAGATATAGATTCATCCTGGACGCTAGCATGAAGGTCAGAGAAATAAAAACCTTCTTCAGAGCGGCACATGGGGCATCGTTTGTCTTTATATCCATCTAAACAGCTCTTACAGATAATAGCGCTGCATTTGGAGTATCATATATAAGGTTTCTTAGTAAGGAGGAGACATATTCAGCATATAAAGGAGTCTATATCATCACATTTAGCAACTTGGTCAGAGTCAAACACCTCCTCATCCTTGACTTCTTCTACCCGGTACTGTTCTGGATCTTCTTTCTCCTTGCGTCTCTCAGCTCTGCTCTTGCGGTGTTCTTCGATGTAGTCCTTTGGAGTTTTAAAGAACATCTTGAAAACATCAAACTCATTCATTTTAGAAAAATTCTTTATAAATTTCTAAGATTTTGTGCAAAAGGGGTTTTGGGGTTTTGGGGTTTTGGGGTTTTGGGG